TAGACGGCCTCGTACTTCCGCAGCTTCTCCACCAGCTGCTTGGCTCCGTACGAGTCTGCGTACCTGAAGGGACCTGCCGGGGAGAGGGGGACACATCTGTGGTGCTTCTCCCTCCCTTGGCAAAGTGCCTGGAAGGGTGAGAGCACCGGATTCGGCTGATCCGTCCTCTAAAAGAGACCCCCAGTCTCTCGGCAGGGCAAGGCGGGACCCTGCTCCCTGCCTGCCCTGCTGAGCAGAGGCAGACTGGATCGCTGGGGACAAGTTGGGGCAGGGATAATTGGGACTGTTCCTGTAGTCTGAGCTTGCCTCAAGGAGGGAAAAGAGCTGGGTACTCTGCAGAAGCACCACCTCATGCCCAAGAGCCCTCAGTATCCTTCAGCTGTGACCCAAACCTCAGCTCATGCTTCGTCCGCTGCCCAGCCCACGACCGCAGCCACGCAGCCGGGTTGCAGATGGCTCCAGGAGAACTTTGCCCATGCTCTTGGCTCGTACCTCAGCCCGAGAAGGGCTGTGCACCACAGCTGAGGTCATCAGCTCAGCTCTATCTGTGCCACACGCAGGCGTGGGGGAACGGTGCGTCCTTGGGCACCACTTCTCAACTCTGTGTGCGGCACAAGACCAGGTTTCCAGAAGTGCTGCAAGATGCCTGCCTGCCCACCCAGGCAAGCAGCAGGGTGAGGGGAGATACTAGAGCCTCATTTTAGCACACCAAGCACCATATGGCTGCACAAAAGCCACGGATTTCTTAAAAATGTAGGGCCTTTGCAAGTCTCCCATCCCACCTACACCCCCATGACTCTCAGGCACGGTAGAAGCTCTTCCTTTGAAGTTCTCATGGGAAGGGCTGACGAGGCTGGGGCCAGCATGGTTCTGCCTTCTCATTCCAACCTGAAGACACAGCAAACGGCCTGGTTCAACTCCCCTGATCCCCACCAGCCACTGCTCTCTGAAACAGCTGTACCAGCAGAGGACCTCCCCAGGGTCCTGGCAGAAACATCTCACAGCAGCGCTCAGGCTCACTGCCACCTCTCGTGGGGTGGGAACACTGGAACAACCTCTCTGGCTCGGGCTTTATGCAGGAGGAGGACACTCAGGCTTGTCAAGACTGCAGCTCAAACCCGGCCTTAACAGCTGGCTCGCCTTTGGTGGTGAGAACCCACTATGGAGCTTTCAAGCTAAGCCAAGCAGCCCTGCCCAACCCCCGGCTGAAAGCACTCACCTCCCAGGCACGGTGGGAAGCCCAAGCCGAACACAGCACCAATATCTCCCTCCACGGGGTTGCTGAGGATCCCTTCCTGCAGGCACATGGCTGCCTCGTTCACAAACCTCGTCACCAAGCGCATCTGGATGTCCTCATCAGTACAGCTGCAAGGAAAGAGTCGGTAAGGGCTGCGCAGGGAACAGCAGCTGGATGGAGGAGCACGTGAAGCCAGCACAGGCTGGGACAGAGCCAGGCCTGGGGTGGGGGAGAGGATGGTTTCTTGCTGAGACTGTCCCTATCCACATGTGGGTAAGGACCGAGCTGTGTGACGTGTCCTGAAGCAGGCACACAAGAATGGAAAAGGCTCGATCAGGCCAGGCGGGAACTGCTCCAGGAGGCTGCAGGGGATGCATCAACCCCCTCGCCCGGACAAGCCCCACCACAGAAAAGCTTTCTGTGGAGGCACCCCAGCAAACGCTGATAAATTTGAGGACGGTCCATTCCTGCGAGCACAGGTTCTCCAGAGCCAACGGCCTGCCCCCCCTGCATGCCAGTGGGGAACAGCCAAATGCCACCTGGAGCGACTCCACGCTCAGCGCTGTCCTCCTGTGCTGCCTGGTGCAGCCCGGCCGCTGCGCAGAGGGAGGAGGAGGAGGAGGAGCTGGGCCGGGGCGAGAGCCAGCCCACACCACCGCTCAGCTACTTACACTTCGGGTTTGGCTGGCACTTTGAACCGCGCCAAGATCTCATCCATGCCGGAATTCACGCTCCTGTTCTTCACCCCCTCCTGGTAAACATAAAAGCCTTTCCCTGCCTTGCGACCTGCCGGGAATAAAAAGGGAACAGTCACATCCTGCCATGCATCCCATTTGCTCCCAACACCTTTGCTTCTGATCTTCTGTGACTCCTGCATGGGCAGATCCCCCCCCAGCACGGGCAGATCCTCCCCCCCAGCACAGGCAGAGCAAGCCTGTTTGCTGCCTCACCAAGGAGAGAGGGAAGGGGCCCCATGTCCAGCCCACTCCTTGGCAAGATGCTGCCACCGTGCCAGGCCCCAATGCCTTCACTAGGTCCAGGGGACAGTCAAATAACGCCACTCTT